CAATGTGGTGTGTTTGAGAAAATGGGAGAAATACAGTAGGTTTCATGCTGCAGTCACGCACTTCGTGGTCACAAAACGTTCTCTAAATGCACATCAAATGCCTAAAAATGCACACATTATGGCAAGAATTATTCATCATTTAATCTGGTTTTAATATTACTTTTATAAAGTTTGAAGTCCAAACACTGATAGCTGTCATAGTTTTTTGCAGAAGCCCTGTGAAAGCATCACAGCTTTGCCGATCTGAGAGGATCAAAAGAAAAAAATTCCTGTATCCGCGTCGTGATCCCGAACATCACCAACATTTAATGGTGTGTTACTTGTGCCAGTGTCCACATGTGATGTAAATGTCATGATAATCTGTCCACACGTTTTTGAGTAATGTTGTCCACAGACAGAACAACAGACCGACAGACAGACATACACGACCGAAAACATTACCTCGCCATTGGCAGAGGTAATAATAGTTTTAAAGTAAATTGAGTCCTTTTAATTGAGATTTTGAGGTTTGTTAGTGGTCAATCTTGAAATTGTAATCTCTAAAACGGCTCAGTGGTTAGCACGGTCGCCTCACAGCAAGCTAGTCCTGGGTTCGATCCCCGAGTCGGACCTGGGGTCTTTCTCTGTGGAGTTTGCATGTTCTCCTTGTGCTTATGTGGGGGGTTTTTCTGGATACTCTGGTTTCCCCCACAACACAAAAATATGCAAAAGGCTGCATTCAGGCCTGGGCCTCCTTTGAAAAAGTCAATGGGATTTGCCTGGTTAAATAACGGTAAAATAAAAAATAAATAAAAATATAATATGCATAATGATGAACTAGTGATGGATGTTCTTTTTTATGATTTTTTTTCTCCTTTTCTACTTTAAAAAAGTCAAAGACTTTTTTGATGTACTAGATGAGAAGCTGAACAAGATGTACAATAGTGCACAAGTGCATGATCAGCTGCATTCAGCAGACGGTGAATTAAACTCAGGAAGCTCATGTCACATCTTCCTGCAAAGGAAAAATTGGCATCACACACACACACACACACACGAACACAACAGCGAGCCAGAAAAGTGTGTCTCTGAGTGTCGGTGTTGTCTAATTATCCATGTGTTTATCTGCAAAAAGTTGCACCCTTGCTACCATGACCTCTCCTAAAAGTGTGTAAGTGTGTGTCCTCTCAAGAGTGTGTTAGATGGTAGGTGGACSAAACGCATTGTTTACACAGGACACCTCGGTGTGACCCCGGAGGTTGCTGAGGACCGTGATTGGCTGCCAGCTACCAGCTCATTAAGCTTCTCGCACGGGCACATTGTGCCAGAAGACACACTCTCCATTTGTTTCACAACACATGAACACACTCACACACACTTGTCAGAGGGACACCGCAGGCATGGCAGACAGCCATGTGCACCTGTCTGTCCCTGCGTGTACAAACACACACACACATATCATCATCAAAATGCATTGGTAGCAAAGCGTTTGTTCAGCCCTTGTGACCTGACTGAACTTTGGCTCACCTTTACTGGTTGATCACACCACAGAACCTCACACCTACAGCCCAGTTTGACCCAAACCACAGGGTTGTGATTTATAGAAGAGCAGACCTGTAAAGAACTGCTAAGAAGATTAATATCTGACAAGCAAACAAACAAGACAAATACAATTTGTGCAAGATAATAAAATGAAAGATAAAAATAGCAAGTTTTGATCTTTGCTGGACATGACTTCAGAAAAAAATAGTTTGGATTTTGCCTAAAATTGATGACAGTCTTTTTTTTTTTTTTACATGTTCCAGTGGGTGTAAAGAGCATATTGTCAGCAAAACTGGTGAGAAATGTTCTCAGTCCACAAAAGTTCATCTCTKGATGGGGAGAGACCACACAAACCAGTGAGTCTCGGCATAACACTGGGCTTGTTTTCATTCCTGTCACTAACAACATCATTGTACTCACCCAGTTATGGGACTGAGAGCAAGAACACAGCCATGGGTTTGCTTTGTCAGTGTGTGAGTGCTGGTGTTGCATACTCTGTTAAACTTTGTAGAAAGATCAGTGCTCTTTTCATTGAAGCTCTTACTTATTAGAAAGCAACACAT